GGCCTTTGGTTGTGCTGTAGATGAGATAGTGATGAGGTAGTCGAAGTCTTGTTTAATGAGTCTTCCTGCTGCTAGCATCTGCTGCAGCTGCTGCAGCAGCAGCTGAACTGCAGCAGCAACATGCTCATCCTGTCCCCCTGTAATACATAAAGCTCTATCACCACTAACAGCAGCAAACCCAGGAACAACACGTATCTGTGTCTGCGTCTTCTGGCTCAGCTCCTCTATGGTTCTCCCCCTCTGCCCCACAATACCCCCAATGCTTCTATGCGGTACCAGCAGCACAGCAGCAGCTCTGCCGCTGTGTGTGGGGTGTGTAGATATTATATTTAATACTTTATATAAACCAGCCTGAACATCCTCTTCCTTTGTACCCCCTATAGCCACTATCTTCGTTACGTCGAGGGCCTGGCTCTGGGGTGGGGGCCCCACGGTATCTAGCAATGCTTGCTTCGCTGCTGCTAGCTCTGGGGGCCCCATCGCGTTCCTTTGTACGAATATGCGGGCGTTTGTGCTTCTCTCTAGGTCTCTTACTGTTGCTCCCCCTTTACCTATAAGGGCCCCCGCAATATTATCTGATACTAAAAGGCATACAGGGAGAACCCTGGGGGCCCCCTGGGGGCCCCCCTCTTGAGGGGCCCCATCATCACCCTCTACACCCATTACACCTGGAGATATACGTTGACGCTTGGGGGCCCCATATGCAGGGAAAGAAGATATAGAACCGTTGCTGCTGGGCGCCAGCTGTAGGGGTGGGCCCCCCCCCATAGATGATGATAGAGATGAGGCCTGGGGCCCCTCCTGTCGCCTTTTGAATGGTTCCATGTTGTTTTTTATGTAAAATAAATTAAATTAATTAAGAAAAGTTAAAAAAAAATACAAAAATACACACAAATACACACAAAACAATCAGCACTCGTACCCTCAATATACACCCCAAATAAATACGCTCACGATGATGCTTTTGTTGCTGCAATCCGCAACAAAAAAGACAAATAAAAATAAACACAAAACAAAGAAACAAAAGAAAAACAATAAGAAACAATATAAACAAAACAAACAAACAAACAAACAAACAAATACACCAGGCAGCTGCATATACACCCGCCGCCTCTCCTGCACTGCAGCGGGGCCCGGTATGTATAATAGGGGGCTTCCTCTTTTGCGTTTTTTTTCAATAAATTCAAACTTTAAACATTATATTTATTATTTTCTATAAATATAAACATATTCACGATCTACACCCCAAAAAATAACGCAGAAATCAGGAGATATACACCCCCCCACGCTCACCCCCAGCCAGGCGGCCCCCCCCCCCNCCCCCCCTGCAGCGCTCCGTATGAGGGGGCCCCCACTCCTCTATCCTCCCAATTATGTTTAAAAAAGGGTTCATCTGGGGTCTGTGGGGGCCCCCTGGGGGCCCCCCTGGGGGCCCCCAGGTGGCCCCTCAGTTCGTAAGAGAGACGCCGTAGCTGCTCATGCTGCAAGGAGGGGGGCCTCTGCTCTATACGAGCGCCACCAGGGGCCCCGATAGAAAGAGAAGAATAAATATAATATTAATAATAATAATAAAAGGGAAAATACTTAGAATAATATTCTACAAAAAGCAGGTGTTTAGGTTGCCGGGTAAAAGGAATAAAGATGAGCCAGTGATAGATATGAATTGCAACACAAGTTGCTGCAGTTTGTGCTGCAGCCAGATTCTGCATGCATGCATATCCAAGCCCCACTCCCTGCATGCGCTAACACTGTACTCAGTTGCTGAGTCTCTCCCCGGCCTTCAGTAGACAGCCGGCACACAGATAGAAGCATATTTACACAGAGCAAGCTATGGCTGCCCCCGCCTCTCCCCCAGCAGCAGATATCCTAGTCTAGTCTCCTGCTGTCGTTGGTAGCAAAGGGTGGGTGGATCGAGAGCAGGGATCCTGCTGCACTTGCTGCTGCTGCTGCTGCTGCTGCTGCTGCCATGCATGGAGGTGTATGCTGCGCTCCT